AGAGGCTCCCGGGAGCCTGGCTGGAGCTGGGGTGATCAGGGTTTGATGGGGTGGCCCTTGGTGTGGTGGGTGATGGTGGCTGTGCTCTGCTGCAGGGGACTGTGTGAAGCAGACAGTCCGTGACCATGGCATCCGGGGGCTGTACCGGGGGCTCAGCTCGCTGGTCTACGGCTCCATCCCCAAGGCTGCTGTCAGGTGGGTGTTCCCTGTGGCACGGGGGGAGGAAGGGGGACCCTGGGTGGTGGCAAACGGGGAGGTGGGTTTGACCTCCATGTCCCCAGTGGCACTTTGCTAAAAGCTGGGTGGTTTCCCGGGCTGGGAGGGTCACCTCACAGGGTTGGCACGGCGGCTCCTCCGCAGGTTCGGGATGTTCGAGTTCCTCAGCAACCAGATGAGAGACGAGCAGGGCCGGCTGGACAGCACGCGGGGCCTCATCTCCGGGCTGGGCGCCGGCGTGGCCGAGGCCGTGGTGGTGGTCTGTCCCATGGAGACCATAAAGGTGGGAGGCACCCGCCAGCGTCACCCTGTCCTGGCACCCCTCCCTGGGCCCGGTTGGGATGGGGCAGGAGCCGGGGATGCCCAGCTTTCGGGGACCTGAAGCCACATGGGTTTGCTCAGGGGAGCTGATGCTGAAGAGCCTCATGGAGAGGTCAGGCCCCTTCCCTGCTCTGGGGAGGAGCCCCCACTCAGGAACCATCCCATCACCCATTTTAGCACTGCAAAACCCACGTGGTTGCTTGCAGAGGCAGTTTCCCAGGTTTTCCTCTGCAAAATGCATTGCTGACCATGGGCACAGACTTTCCTCTGTGGTCTCACCTGGTGTTGCCTTGCCCTGTGGGTTGGCTCTGGTCTTGGAACCACGCCTGAAGCAAGGCAAGAGGCAGCTGGCAGCCCTCTGGGGCTTGTTGCATCCCCCTTCTCCTCACCTGGATGAACGCATTGTCTCCCTGCAGGTGAAGTTTATCCATGACCAGACTTCCCCCAATCCCAAATATCGTGGCTTCTTCCATGGTGTTCGGGAGATTGTTCGGGAACAGGGTGAGTCCCAGGGAAGCTGTGGCTCATTGTCCTCCCTCCCTGTAACTCCAAACTGGGGGGCCTGGGCAGGAGGTGGGGAATGGGTGCAGACAGGGACTGGTGGCCTGGGGAGGTTTTTCTCTGCCTAGGTGAGGCTGGTGCTCCCCTCCAACATCCTTTCTTGCTGCAGGACTGAAGGGGACATACCAGGGATTAACTGCAACCGTCCTCAAGCAAGGATCAAACCAGGCCATCCGCTTCTTTGTCATGACCTCCCTCAAGAACTGGTACAAAGGTAGGATGTCCCTGTCCTCCCAGGCTACCCCAGCTGCACTGCTGCCTCCTCCAGTCCATCTGTGGGAGCTGGTCCGGGCTTTCTGCCAGCACACCCTCTGCTTCTCACGGCTCAGCCTCTTGTGGTGGACAAAGATGAAAGCCAGGAGGGCCCCAGCTTGTGGAGTGGAAGGATCCTGGTGCTGGAGCATCACTGTTACCCCCACCCTTAGCCCCTCAGTGCTGTGGGATTCTGTGGGGCTGGTGCTACTGGATGGTTCCCTCCAAACACCTCGGTCCCCAGCTTAGCACAGCTCAAGCCCTGACCATGAGTAGCCAGACCTGGGGCCTTCCTTGTAGGCTCCCTTGCATCATTCCCAAACCTCTCCTTTGCCTCCTCAGGAGATGATCCCAACAAGGTCATCAACCCCTTTGTCACGGGGGTGTTTGGAGCCCTCGCTGGAGCTGCGAGCGTCTTTGGGAACACCCCCTTGGACGTGGTGAAGACCAGGATGCAGGTGTGACTCTGGGGCACGGTGTGGGACTGCCCAGCCTGCGGTGGGCTGGGGTCACCCGCTGTTTGGGAGCCATTTAGTACAGCCCCCAGGGCAGACACCCAGTGCTGGTGATGTCTGGGAGATGCCTGGGAATGCTGCCCCCTTGCAGCCAGGCCTGGGGGTGCTGGGAGGTCTTCACGTGGAGGTGGTGATGTCTCTGCCAGGTTTGGTGGCCTGCAGCAGTGAAGGGGCATTGGTTC